GGCGCAGCACCTCTGATAATAGATGCTGTGGGGTTCCCCGTATCATGTGCGAGAGCAGCTAGAAAATATGGAAACGACTTTTCGTGAGCTGCCAAGAATGCAGCATTTGTGGGTCCTCGGGTTGTAGGTAACCAGGCCACATTTGCGGGGGCAGCTTGAAGATCTGGGGAAGACTCTTCGTAAAAGGCCGAGAATGCAACATTTGTGGGTCCTCGGATTGTAGGGAATTAAACCACACCTCAAGAAAGGGCGAGGGCAGCTGGCAAATATTGGGACGACTTTTCGCGAGGTGCCAAGTATGCAACATTTGTGGGTATTCGGGTTGTAGGTAATCAGGCCACATTTGCGGCGGCAGCTTGCGGATCTAGGAATGACTCTTCGTAAACGGCCGAGAATGCAACATTTGTGGGTCCTCGGGTTGTAGGTGACCAAACCACACTTCGGGAGAGGAAAAAGGCAGCTACTATGTTTGGGAACGATTTGTCTGCCAAAGCAACATTTATGAGTCAATGGGTTGTATAGCTTGAAGCCACATCTCCTCACTGGAATCCCATCTTCTACTTCATCCTCGCTGGTTTCTTCATCTTCTCGGTGATAGTCTTGTGCTTCCTCTTCCTGAACGTCATCTTCTCCAGAAAAGAGGGAGAATTCTCAAACTAAGAATCACGTGATTCCACTAACTAAAAGTATAGTTTCGAAACTACTTCGCTGTTCTTACACTTTCGTCTAAAATTTCTTTTTTACTTACCTTGGTCGCCCTCCCCCTCAGCAGCTTCGTTTGAAGGTTCTTCTTCAGTGGCGTCTTGTTCAACGGGAGTATTTTCCACTTTTTCAGTGTCTTCGGCTGAGAAAGTATTAAGTTCACAACATTAATGAGTGATTTTAATAACTGACTGACTGATTGCACTTTCACCACTTGACCCATTGATTGATTGATTGTTTCATAGAATCATTTTTATTTGAGAAACTGGTTTCCGCTTACAGATATGCTGGTTATGTACTTGTTTTTCTCCATCTTTTATAACCGATTAGCTCATTAAAAAAGAGTTTAGCAGTTGTAAAACATGCGGGATTTTCTCTGCAAGAATCCAAACTCACCTGATAGAAACTCGCCCTTCTGCCTCCCCCTGTGGTTTTCTAGTGTGCTTAAGCAGACTCGAGATGGCTCCTATATTTACTTAAATTCTAAACAGACACCGGTGGTTGAAATAAAGCATAATGGTACTGATTTTGAACTTAGCTATATCTTTAGGTTATGCACGAGCCTGTCGGGCTGTTTTGTTGTTTACTAGTTTTTCATTCGTGTCATGGCTAACAGGTTTTTCTTGTTGCTGGAGTAAGAGGGCTTTTCCCTCGAGAACTTGCTTCAAGCTTTTAAAATCTCTATCATGAATAATCGAGTGTTTTTGCTCTTATTCCTTTAGGTATAAGTCGACAGAAATAACCATTACACGAAAGCTATCGCGCTCGCAGTCTGCTCCGTCCTTCGTACGAACTGTAGCTCTTGTTGAATTTTATGGAGGGCCTCCGGGTCATACTTCCGTAGCCGTTTTTGGAAAGCTAGAACTTCCAGTCTCCCAGTCGGTTGCTGGTCCTTTTTTTTTTTAGAATTTTCCCTGAAACACTCTGAATTATAACATTGTAACTTTCTATTGACCTTTCCGCCATTTTGTTCCGTGTTGCTTTCGCGACATATCTATCAATCGATTTTCATTTCAACTTTCTGCGCTCAATTCCAGTTTCTGCGCTGTTTGAGATTAATCGACGTGTTCTCGGCCAATGAGCATGCTAAATAATTTTGGAATATGTATTACTATGAAGTGAAAAGTCAGTGGGATATGCTATCGAAATTGCATATTCGATTTCTCCCGGCACAGTTTAGATTATTTTTCAATTATAAGTTGAGTTTTCGAAATTCTCCTAGTTTCAATAACTGATTCGCTTTTTTTGCCACTTTCGTTAGGAAACCTGTTCTTCTTACCCGGGTCGCTCTCCTCCTCTGCAGCTTCGTCCGAAGTTTCTTCTTGAATGGCATCTTGTTCTATGATTGCATAGTTCGCCTCTTCAGCGTCTTCGGCTGAAAGAGTATTGAGTACTTAGAATTAATAACTGATTGAGTGCGCTGTCAACCATTGACTCATTGATTTATTGATTGTTTTATAGGCTTACTCTGGGACCTTAAGTTGTCTTAAGTCGCCTAAAGACGCCTTAAGTTGCCTTAAGTCGCCATTGGTTACGCAACGTTATAAGGGTTCCACCCTTCCCAATTGACCCCATTCACCCCACTCTAATCATGACTATTGTGTTTATTGCAAGGGATTCTGTAAATATTTTTTAAGGTTTATGGAGAGACTGTTGCCAACTTTGATTTTATCGCTTCATTCAAATAAAATCGCTTTAAGTCGTCTTAAATCGCCCAAAGTTAGTAAGTGATTTTCGAGTCGACTAACCGTATAGCTGTCTAACTCCTCGGCAACTGATTATTTTATATAAAATAGGACGAAAGAAAAAACAGATGAACGAAGAGGCGAAATAGCGAGTGAAATAACAAAGTGTAACGTACTTCAAAAGCAATTTTCTCGGAAATCGTAGCGACGATGTTTACTTTAGTTCTCACGAGCTTCTCAAAAACACTCATTTTTCTTAGCATATTTAAGCATCGAAATTCACTCACTTCTTGGTATATAATTCTTTCTGCACCCTTTCCCAAATTCTAACAACCATGATACAGTAGATATGCATTGCCCAGGAAGAAAATGACTCAAAGGGTTGTTGTGCAACAGAAAGCTTTTTTCAACATATTTCTTAACAGATTTAAAAACTATTCTAAAGATAGAAACGCCTTTGACGTACCTTTTTCTTCCCCTTGATCAGCGACGTCTTCTAAAGCTTCATTTAAGTCTTGAAGCTCGAATTCCGCTGCTATCTCCCCAGGATTAGCAGCATTTTCTTCAAAGGTTTCAGCACTTACGACAGCAAAAACTGCCAGAAAAGCAGGAAAGAATTGCAAAACTCTAGCCATCTTTGGTTTCCTACGGAACGATGTACCCAAAGCTGAAAATCACTCCCTTTTATACTGTACAAAAAGGTTCCAAAATAGCACCTTTTAGTGGTCTAGACTCATTATTCACTTGGACATTTTAAAACCCTCAAGCAATAGTAAGGTTTTTGGAAATTTCAATTTTCTCTGATATTGCGATACCTAGCGGAATTGAGGAAGATATAAAAATATGTCCGTTTATCATCGGAAAAATCCATGATTTTACTAATAAGACCAGTCTTATAATTAGTTATAACTAGAAGTTTTAACGACTAAAATTGCGTGAAACATTTGTTGAGTTTCTCTGGTAGACTTAGGAGTAGTGAAGTATTCTCTTGTTTTAACTCGACAACTGACGTGAGCGCCAGCACATATTGTATTGAGGTGAACTGTATTAACTGTATTGACAGTCATTTAAAGTTGAAAGATCACAAAAAAGTGACTGTTTGAATTGTATATTGTCAGTAAGTCTTTTGAAAAGAAAGAGATGACATAAATTTAAACAATCACAGCATTTTTGATTGTATTGTCGATACGAGCAAAACAAAACATTTCATGTATACTTTTTTTTAATGAAACAGACTAATCACGACCGACTTACGCCACTTGAGTCTTACAGCCAATAACATCACGGCAAAACTGACCAATCATTTTACACGAACAGGACTAAGAACATTCTACTGACAACAACTATTCACTTGACTCTGAGGATGATTTTCGCACAGGTTGTCGAAACGTCAGTCACYCTGACCACCGACAACAGTCTTTCTTTGGACTACACTCACCCGGACGATCGAACTACGCTTTCACATGTTAACCCCGGGTTCAGACCATTTACTGAATTATGTTTCATTTCTGTAGAACCACACCAAGAGTTCCATATTACACACAACCGGTGTTTCACGTCACTAGTTCGAAAATTTTATGTTGGACAAGGGTAGCTTATATTCGTTGAGAAAAGTTTAAAGAAACACTTACTGATATTGGTCTTGATAGATATTCTACGAAACAAAAAGTTCACTTCATCACATCATCAATATTTTCAGTCTTATTGTAAAAAACCGCAGATTCAAATCATACTTGACTTTAATAATATTATTGTACTTCTGTTTGACGTAAACTTTTATATTTTGAGAGTTTACAGTGCAGTCACTTTGTAGTTTTCTATGATAGTTTTGTAATTATTCATCGAGACTGGTAATTAGTTTCTCTTTACAACATCACCCCCCGAATCACACATAAAAGTCAAGAAAATAAAGGAAATGACCTTAAAACTCTTGATTGTTAAAAAAACTCGCCTTGTCTGCACCTTTGGGAATGTAAAAACTATGAAGAACAATATACGTATGGAGGATGTTAAGGTGTAAAGGGTCAGTTAAGGAAGAAATTTTTACATATCGACGGACAACGTTAAAGCTGTACTGTGCTGCTCTGTAAGTCATTCCAAGACTACAAATGATCCCGGAAGACGCGAATGATTCTTAAAACTGAACCGCAAAGACATCTCACCGTAAGACCGTGAATGATCGCGTTAAGATTACGATACTTCAGACACCGAATTTTGCTAAAAAATTGTTTTCACTCTTTCTCCAGTTCGGTTAAAGCATTTATCTGTAGTTTCGTGGGAAAAGAATATTACTTAAAATCATTAGATTTTAGTGAGACATCGGGGAAAAACTGTTTTTGAGAAAAGTTATTAAAGAGCTAAAGGTGCTTTTATCATATTAAGGACGTCAGAGGTAAGCTGCTCCTTTGCTTTTTTTAGCGGTAAACTTCATCCAATACATCAACACATGAATATCTTTGTACTTGTTTGGGTAGAGGCTTGGAATTTCTACAAGTTTGTTCAGATGATGTTTTGGTTGTAAATTTGGGGAGCTTTACTAATTTTTGTTGCAGAAACACCAATCAAATGGGTTAAGAATACAGCCAAAAATGGTCTGAAGTGTTTACGCAATAGAGAAACTCCATGGACCCTTTTACGAAAGTGCAATATAACTGAAACACCACTGCGGAGGGTACAAATATAAGAAGAACTGATTTCCTCCCTTAAAAAAAACGCGAGGCGCTTTCAACTAACTCAGTGAAAAATAAATCTCCCGCGAATTTCAAGAGGCTATTTTTATTTGAGTCTTTGGGGTCCAAAGCTCGTCCCTTTTTAGTGGGCAGCGTTATGACTGCGGTGGCAACTGCTCTGATGAAGTGTCAAAGACTAATAAAACTTTGGAGGCCGAAAACTATGGCTTTCTTTTTGTGTGGATTCGCTAGCTTTGAGAGAAGTAATAAGGTTTATAAATTTTGTGTTCTTACGACAACTGGCCAAAATGTTAACTGGTTATTAATGCGCTAGAGTTTGTGAGGGATTTCTTACATGCCATCTACTTCTTCTTGAAAACCTTCTTATGTGAGGAAGATTGGCGTATAATCAATTCGCCAAGGTTTAAGGTAGATTTTCTCGACTATCAATGACAGTATCGTAAAAGCTTCACACTTTTCCAATCCATCGGCCGCTGATTAATTCTGTGCAATTTATTAAGTCGTGCATGCAAACACGAAAAAAGACCGATTCGATTATGAAACATCGCCAATTTTACGTTTAGGGACTTGCGCGGGCTTAATATTAGACCAAGCTAAGCTCCGGTTGTTCGAAGGATGGATAACGCTAGCGTAGTACGTTTTGTTAACACAACCGCTGGATAGCAATTTAGTATGTGGTGGATTTTACACTTTTTCACGTTACGGCCCAACAATTTCTGTCTTTGAAACGAGACAAATTACTCATACTTCATTGCAAGTGAAATGATCGTAGTGTCAGTGTTAATTTTATTTTCTGTGACCCTTAAGAGGCTGCCTCGAATCAACAAGGTAAACTACGACGTGCAAAACACTGTGTTTGGCCTGTTTAAAGCCATGACAGTTATCGCTTCCCGAAACACAACTTTGAAGCGAGACTCTGACCAGCTATGTGCCCTATAGTTCCGAAGCACCGAGGTAATTTCATGCCAATTTACAATATCCTAGGTCTCCATACGTTCATGTTTAAACTTTTTTTTCTGAATAGGTAGCCTCTAGCGAAAGAGACAAGCAAGGATTTCCAAAAAACTGTCTGCATCAAATTTAATGGGAACCGGCTTCCAAGACAACAACAATGTAGTGACAAAAACATTTCAGTTTATTTGAACTAAACATTACTTAACTTTTGTAAGGACCCGCATCATTCAGAGTTACTTCGTACTGTCAGTTAGGGATAGCATTGGTTTTACAAATTAGTGATTTCCGATTATATTGCTCTTCATTCAAAAATTCGTAACTTAAAAATTATTTACCGCTAAACCAGCAGTTTAAAATCTGTGGTTTTTGGGCAACAAGACCAGATTAATCTGCTTTCTAGCATTTGCTATATTTAGGAATTATACTTCCATAGGCGCAGCACCTCTGATAATAGATGCTGTGGGGTTCCCCGTATCATGTGCGAGAGCAGCTAGAAAATATGGAAACGACTTTTCGTGAGCTGCCAAGAATGCAACATTTGTGGGTCCTCGGGTTGTAGGTAACCAGGCCACATTTGCGGGGGCAGCTTGAAGATCTGGGAATGACTCTTCGTACAAGGCCGAGAATGCAACATTTGTGGGTCCTCGGGTTGTAGGTAACCAGGCCACATTTGCGGGGGCAACTTGAAGATCTGGGGATGACTCTTCGTAAAAGGCCGAGAATGCAACATTTGTGGGTCCTCGGATTGTAGGGAATTAAACCACACCTCAAGAAAGGACGAGGGCAGCTGGCAAATATTGGGACGACTTTTCGGGAGGTGCCAAGTATGCAACATTTGTGGGTATTCGGGTTGTAGGTAATCAGGCCACATTTGCGGCGGCAGCTTGCGGATCTAGGAATGACTCTTCGTAAACGGCCGAGAATGCAACATCTGTGGGTCTTTGGGTTGTAGGTGACTAAACCACACTTCGGGAGAGGAAAAAGGCAGCTACTATGTTTGGGAACGATTTGTCTGCCAAAGCAACATTTATGAGTCAATGGGTTGTATAGCTTGAAGCCACATCTCCTCACTGGAATCCCATCTTCTACTTCATCCTCGCTGGTTTCTTCATCTTCTCGTTGATAGTGTTGTGCTTCGTCTTCCTGAACGTCATCTTCTCCAGAAAAGAGGGAAAATTGTCAAACTAAGAATCACGTGATCACCACTCACTAAAAGTATAGTTTCGAAACTACTTCGCTGTTGTT